TATATGATTATGAGGAACCAAAGTAACCTTGACTGAAAGGTCAGTATGCTGAAAAGATTCTTTTAGACGAGATCAAGGAAGCACACAGCGTTTTTAATTCTTTTCAGTGGTTTTCTAAACCATCAGAGTTTGATTATGAACCTCCCCATCTTTTAAAGAGATAAAACCAACACACAAAGTTTTGTACCAAAAAGAAACGGGGCCTTTGTGACTTGTGCGCGGAGCATGCTAAATAGAGCACCCGCTTTCGTTCTGACTCATTTGCTGTATTCCTGGAGGATTCCAACTCGGATGGACTCGCTGTTATGGTTTCTCTCTTGGGCTGCCACATCCATGCTGTGCTAGAAAGAATGACTGCTTTTCTCAGAACCACAGTTACTGAAAGCCTCAGAGGCCAACAGTATAGATTCACCTTTGTCAACCCCAAAGATCAACAACAAACCGCCGTGAGCTGTGCATTGGAGACAATAAAAGAAATGAAGCATTATGGGTGCTATTGTCCCGTGAATGTACAGTGACTGGTGCTTCTCTTCAAACCAGGACTGGGCTCTGGCTCCTGCTTCCCAGGCCTCCATGCCACCACCAGAAACCTTCCTACCCAGCTAAGCAGAAGAGGGGGAAGTCTGCATGGCAGTGCTCCAGCTTTTGGAAACAGATCTGTGGGAGAAACAGCCAATAAGCAAGACGAGGGAACGAAGTACTTTTATCAGCTTGAACCGAAAGCTGCATCTTTCCCATCGTCTCTTAATCATCACGGACAATGCCCCGCCCATTAAAAAAGACATTCAGGACAGATTTTCCTTTTGAACTCTGACAAGGCTCCTGTTAGAAACACACAACCAAGCTCCAGTGGAGGATGAAACCTGTTTCTGAAAAAAAGTTCGGAATATAATTTAGTTGACAACACTATTAAAAACTACACGTCTCCAAGGCCAGCTGGCCTGGGTCTGAAAAAGCCTGAGTTAAAACCGGTCTCGCTGAACATAGTGGACAATGAGGACTACTGAGACCTCAAGAACAATGGCAATGGGCTTTTGATCCTACTGCACCTATTGGTTTTGTGGGAGCCTAGGCAGTTTGGATGGTCACCTTACTAGACCTGGATGGAGGTGGGTGGTCCTTGGACTTCCCACAGGGCAGGAAACCCTGAGTGCTCTTTGGGCTGACGAGGGAGGGGGGGCTTGATTGGGGGAGAGGAGGGGAATGGGAGGCGGCGGTGGGGAAGAGACAGAAATCTTTAATAAATAAATAAATAAATAGATAGATAGATAGATAAATAGATAAATAAATAAAAAAAAACTACACGTCTCCAAAGGGGACTGATTTCTCATCTCTGAGGCCGTATTTAAGGCAGAATAGGGGTTTACTCTTGAATCATGAGCTTTGTTGCTAGAGACCACTTGGTTTGCCCTTGGGGAAATCATTTCCATTTCTTTGGGCTCTGGTTATCTTTTACACAGGCTTAATAGTTAGTGGGAAAATTAATTAAACGAGCACACGTGAGCCCTAAGTGGCCAGTACAACGAGTGACAATAAATTCAAAATGAGTCAACAGGCATTGTCAAAGTTAGAGGACAGATGATGCTGAAATAGACAATGGATTTGAGGAAACGGCGTTATTATATGGGGGTGATACTTGGGGACTTTCTTTGCTTTGGTCCAAGAGTGTGATAGTTAAATGTAGTCGTGTAAAATGAAATTCTGTCTAGGCACATAAGGCATTTGCAGAAGGGATAGGCTCGAAATGTCATTTCAGCAACGTGCTGGGAGCAACTCACTCTCTGACTGGCATTGGAAGTCAAGTCCTTGCTGTCTGACCTTTTGAGTGCCCGGGAGGGATGCCTATAGCTGCTGCACCCAGCACTGGAAGGGGCCCAGGCACTTCCCAGGGCTGCCTATCTGCTCAATACTAACTCCTTGATCGTCCACATCTCCACCGAAAAAGCTATTTCCTCAGCCCAGAGGAAGCTCCCGGGGCTGCTGTAGGTTGGTGCTTAACTTTGTTGCAATTAGGCAGAGTCCCTCTTGCCTCCTCTGTTGGGGTAAGTGGCAAGGAGTCCGTAGTTCGCACCGGGGACAGGGTAACTAGAGAGCTATAGCTAAGTCAGGAGACCGCAGCCTAGAAGAAGCAGGTGGGGACTGGGTAGCGCAGTGGCAGGACAGCAGTCCCTTCAGTCCTGAGGCCTTAGCGGCCTGCGCCAGGCAGGGTGGGGGCGGGGTGGGGCGGCGCAGAGGGCGCGGAGATTACCGCGGCGCCACCAGAGACGCGCAAGGCCCCGGAGCCTCCGCGGTCCCCACGCGAGACCGCAAAAAAAAAAAAAAAAAAAAAAAAAACGATGACAACAGGCACTTCTCCGAGATCGAATAAAAAGGAAAGGCTTCTGAGCCCGCCACGGTCCTCTGCCCTTCCGGCTGCCTGCCGCGAGGCCCCCAGCGGCCACCCTACCCAAAAGTCGCCGGTGGCGACGTGCCCCCGCCTCTAGGCTCCAGCTCCGCGCGCAAGAGAGGCGGCCCGCGGCGCGGCGCACACTTCGGCGGCTCCCGGCTTGCGCGCAAAACTTCCACCCGGACGGCGCCGGGCAGCAGGCTGCGGGGACCTGCGGAGGGACGCCCGGCGCGCGCGCTTTCTCTCTTCTTCTGCCTTCCCCACCGCTCGGCTGCCGGGACTTTTGGCTCCTCTCCTTTCCTCCTCCCCCCTCGCAGCCGGCTCCCCCACCCCGCCCTGTTTCTCCCCCACTTGTGTAAGCTATTTGTTGGGGGTGGCCGAAAGGGATGTCCTGTTTTCACCAGAGACACAGCGCGAAGGGAAAACTTCGACACTGGAAGGAACGAGAGTAAATACCCAGATCGGACCCGCGGATTACGGGCTGGGACAGACAATTGAACTTCAGGAGCCCAAGGCGGTCCAGGCCGCCAGAGGTGAGTACCCACTCTTCAAATAACCCGGTTTCTGGAGCTAAAGGGGTTCAAGATTTGGAAGGTCCCCAAACTGTCCTCTGGAAAGTGTGAACGACTTTGTAATACGTTTGGAGATTCAGGGATGGAAGACGCGCGTCGAGAGAACGTGTGAGGCTTAGGGTTCTCCCCGGTGACCTAAAAGCGGTCTCCCACGGCCAGGGCCGCTAGCACCTAAGAGGTGCGTTCTACTCAGAGGCACCCTCAATGACCCATAGGTCCCCAATAACCACTTTTCTCTGCCGCTGGGAGTCTGCGCAGCGGGCCCGGGACCCGGATAATCCTCGCCGCGTCCAGGGTGCAGACCATACCTGACTGCACCCCGCCCCCGTTTCTCCCAGGCGCCTGCACGAACCTCTCCCCACTCCCACCCTGTGACATTTAATATTTTGTGATGACCGGCTACACCGAGCAAGGGTGCTACCCCAGTGTCCCCTGGAGGGCCAAGGGCGCCTGGGTGTGCGTGTAGCCGGGCGCGCGTGTACTCCGGGCCCGAGCTCTGATAGCCAGGTACCGGTCACCGTCTAAACAGCGGCAATCGCAAGCTAATAGTTTTTATGTGGCGTGGACGAATGTCTCCTGTAGTGTGCCAGGGTCTGTGAAATTAGAGGCGCCTTGTCGGAGGAGTCGCTTTCATTGGCTCCAGGCGTGGATACCATGGAGCGATTCTAACTTCTCCAAACCGGAGGACTGTGTTGGGGAGAGCAGGTTTCTCCCTGAGCCGCTTGGGTCTGGGGAGGCCACGGGACTCAAGATTTGGAGCCTGGTGAAAAGAGACTCGGAGGCTGACCGTGGGAGCCTATTTCAGTTCGCACCGCATAACAACCCAAACTTTTCATTTTATTTTTCTATTAGCACTTAATTTTTCTTTTCTTTGTATTCAAGATTCAGAACTACTCTGAGAAAAATTAGGGAGTTTTTGACCGGCTGAGCGGTAGCGAAACTTAGGGAGTACTGTTTGATTTTTTTCCACTTTCACCTTGGTTGGGGTTCACAGGTACCCATCTTTCAACTTCCCGGGAGGCTAACGGGGTGGTGATTTGGGTGGGATCTGTGTGGCCTTTTCCTCCCTGGCTGCCGAAAGAGCTAGAGTCATTCAGGAATCCTTATGAACTAGAGAGCCGCGAGGAAGGTGCGCATTCCCGGAGCAGGGACAACCTAGGTGGCCGCTAGCTCCAGGAACCTGTGAGTTTTGGTTTCTGCGCAATTCCACGTGGAGCACCCCCGTGTGCGTGTGTGTTGTGTACTTGATCTGTGAGGAGGTAACTGGAGTCTCGTGTTCAAACCCAGTGGGCCCTTGGCCATTAATTTGCTTTCCTGGCTGTCATTACAGACACTTCCAAAATCTGATACCTAAAGGGATCCAACAGGTTGGGTTTCACATTAAGAGCCCATACTTAACAGTTTTCTTTCTCCCGTACCCGCTTTGGCTCAGCACTCTGGGATCAACGTTATTGTTGGAGTGAAATACATCTTCTCGAATATGGCATTTTGTTGCTCTTCCCTTAGCGATCGCCTTTTTGCACCTTAGGGCATTTGCCAGTTTCAGCGCGGGCTCCTGGGGGACTTAGGTGGGAGTCTTTAGGAGCGTTTAGCAACTGCGGATTCCCATCAACAACTTCTGAAGTTTCATTTACCCATGGGTGACTGACAGCATTCAAAACGGACCATGAGTTTTTGTTTGTTGCGTTTTCCCACTTTTATTTAATTCTAATTTTTATTTTTAAGACTTCTCTAGGACAAGATTTGTATTTGATATAACTTCCCAGTAAAGTTTTATATTTAAGCAGAAACGGTGCTACTTTTTTGTTTGCCTTTAAATAATGCAATGCATATGTATATATATGCATATATCCATATATACTCATACCTGAGAAACAAAAACTAGACGAGTCAGAAAGTAGAGAATTCTAAAACAAAATACTCTGATACATTTTATGGTGTGTTTTAAGAGATTTGTATTCAAAGACATTTTGTACTTAAAAAATAATATTATTCCAAGAAATAGAAAAGCAATAGCAACACAAGACAGGCTTGTGTGTGTTGAAGAACTGTCAGAACGCTGAGTTTGTGGCAAGAATGCTCAAAATAGATAGACATTCCTCACTTTTACAGCTCAGAAAAATAGATTGTTCCACCTGATTCAAGGTTGTAGGCAACATTAGGGTAAAACATTTTTAGAGTAATGTCTGACCATGGATGTTAAAAACAAACAAACAAACAAACAAACAAACAGCAAAACCTTCAACAGCAACAGCAGCTTTGGCCTTAACATAGCTGAGCTGGTTTTAAACCTCATATTCTTACAAGGACCAGACCTTGTCCTCCCACAAGTGAATGTCTGAAATAGGGATGTCTTCAAAGCCTATTCACCTTTGTGAAGCAGGTGAAAATGAAGAGGCTTTCCCACTTTAAGAGCACCTCACGGAAGGGACTCTCCCAGCCATACATGGGAAAACGTTTGCGATTCTTCCCATTCACGGAACATTACAAAGGCTGGCTTCTCATTTCCAAAGTGAAGCTGTGCATGTGTGTTCACATGTGGGGTCATATTAGCTAACATGTTTAACTAAAAGACCTTCAAAAGCCTACAATGTGTGAAAATGGATTGACTTAAGTACTATTTTATTCTCATTAAGAAATTGAGACATGGGTGTTTAGGCATTTTCTAGAAGCTGGATGAAAACCATAGAAAAGTTTCTTTTTTTCAAGAAATATTTGCAGGTGGTTAGTTTGCCATTTTAACGTGTGTGTGTGTGTGTGTGTGTGTGTGTGTGTGTGTGTGCGCGCGCATGCACGCGCACACACACATGTTACCCTCTTTGGTTTAAAAATAACATATTCTTCATCTCTAAATTTTTCTTTTATTTATATTGTGATTTACGGTGTAAATAAATTTTACGTAGCAATGGGAAATACAGTGTCCAGTTTCATGTTTTTAATCACTGGTGCAAGTTCTGCATGGCTGATGCCATGTCTAAAAATATATTTATGTGGCTTGGCACTTCATTTATTAAATGTGATGAACCAGAGTTAAATCGTGTAGAAATTTTGAAAGGGTAAGATGATAGAAAAATCTGTGGCCGTTGATAGGAAAGTTGGGGTTTTGGAAAATGCACATTCTAACTTTTAGATAATAAGATTAAAGTTTTTTTTTTCACTGTCATGCAGGGGAAGCCCACAGGTTTTATGCAGAATTTAAGAACAACGATAACCCCTTTTGAGATTCAGTGGCGTGCTAAGCAATTTAGGAATTGTGAGCATTTATTCTGTTCTTGCATTATCTTGACTCTCACTCTTTTCTCTACTGGGTAAGCTTAAGAACACTCAGCATTCAGTAAGAACAGGCCCCCTCCCGGGGAGTTTATTCACCATAGTTCTGTAGTGCAGCTGCTGATCATATTTCATGGAGCTGTTAAAGCACTTAAAACCTAAAATTAGGTACTGTCTGGTTGTAAATATTTCACATCCTTCATTTGAGAAACAAACAGAAAAGTCTGCCATCTAAAGTACGGAGTCCTATCACCGAAGAGCTGGGCAGACCTTTACCAATGGCTTAGCTATCTTCTGGGTGAGGATAAAACCCTGACAGTTTCTTTTTCGAATGAATATTCCCCCTTCCACATTCTCAACTCTTACACTGTGTGTCTCAGTCGAGTATCTTAAACTAATTGTATTCAGAAGTACAGTTGCGGGATTTTATTACAATGGTTACTAGGTGAAGGAAATCAACACCACCCGGAATGGATAGCGGTGGTGTGGACAGGCTCCTCTCATGGAATTTTCCTGGTGAACTTAGAAACGACATGCTCTTTCAGGCGTTTGCCCTCCAGATGGGTTAGGTACAAGAGCATGTTGAACTGTTCCTATGTTCAGTTCTGCGTCTTGCAGCTTGATGTGTTTGAATGCAAGGAATTGAATATTCATTAAATTGCGCGTGGAGCCAAACTTGGCGTCCTTTAGCCAGAACTTGAGTGGAAGAAAATAAACAAGAGCCACATATTCAGAAGTCTCACAAGCCACTCTGCTGGCTTTAAGAGGTCTGGAGACTTTGTAAACATTACCGTCACTTAATATTGCTGTGGCCTAGCACATTAGAGTGTGCCCTCGTGATGTGTCCCTTTCCTCTGAACTTCCTGTGTTTTATTTGTGCTCTATCCATGTGTTTGTTGTAGAGGGGTGCAAAAAATACACGAGCACACTACTCTCCATGCCCTCCTTTCTCTTTTCCAGAAAAGGAGATGACACTGATTCATTTTAAAAACAGAAACCATTTTGAACCGTCAAGCTCACGTTTATAGGGAAGGGTAAGACGGTTCCGGAGAGCTGCCTCCAAGTCTCACATGACCTTTGCTGTCATTCAAAAGCGCTAATTGATCTTAGCACTGACCTAATAGTATAGTTTGATATTTGAAACCTGTCAGTATTGGCCTAGCCTTTTTCTCAGCCTCCAATTTCAGTACATGGTCGATAAAGAAAGACGGTGTATAAAAACATCAGAAGTGTTTCCCCCTATCAAACAATAAATGCAATGTATATGATAAAAATATACCCATAATTTAAACTATTTTTACATAATAATAAGCTATTTTATTTTAATATCTTTTCAGACCACAGAAAAAGAGAACCATGTTGTCATATTAGAACATTTAGAACTAGCTGATAAGTTGTTTTGTTGGGTTGGAAGACAGTGTCTGTTATCACATTTGAATATTTTCAAACCGAAGTTTCATTATACCAGTAAGATGTAGATGTCAGGAAATTTTATATCTAAGGTTATATTTTCTTAAGTATATTTACATCTTAAAGTATGCTTTTAAATAAAAACAAGTAAGGGTTGCCAGATAGCTCCCATTGCAAGTCAGCATCCAGCGGCTCATGGGGACCTTTCTGATGGGTTAGCTAGCCGCACTGTTTTCCACCCTTTATGGGTTTAGCTAATCTTCATCCGTTCGAGTACGCTG